AGGGGGAGGCTGGAGGCCACCAGAGCCGGAGGCACTGGTGAGCAAAGGCCTCAGACTTCCGGGAAAGCATCCCCTCAGACACTCCGCAGAGCCAGCCTGGCCCTGACTGGGGTGGGGTGGGCGTGGCATGAGTGGGAGCCACCTCGTAGGGTCGGGGCTGCTGGTCAGGGGTCCCCAGTGCCAAGTGAGGATGACCGGGGGGCGGGGAGGGGTGCAGCAGGTCCTCCCCGTCACCCTCACTTGGAAGGACCTTGGCCACGAGGCCATCGATGGCCCAGCCGCCACTGACGGAGGACAAGCAGGGCTTAATTAAGGAGCCGGGTGCGTGGCCATGGCGTGGGCGGTTGCCAAGGTGACTGTGGAGGTGGGGTTCTCTGGGATGGCCCCCCGCCCTGCAGGCCTCCTAGTTGGGAGAGAGGGAGAAAGGCTGCCCCAGAGGAAGCTGGGGGCCAGCCCCGCAGGCGCTCGATGACTTGTGCCCTGCTTAGCTGGAGTTGGGGAGCCCAGAGACATCGAGACTGCAGTGCCCAGCCTCTGAGCTCAGGACGTCTGGACGGGTGAGCGGCCCTGCTGCTGGGGTGGGTGCCTGCCAGTGGTCAGAGGCTGCCCACCCGCCCAGCTGAGCCTCGCGTCCATGCTGTAGGCCCGGAGCATGGCCCTTCACACACACTCGGGGCAGAGGGGCAGCAGCCCCTCTCCGCCCAGGGCACGGGGGCAGTAGGCACCACCCCCTGCGACCACGGGGTCTCTCAGAAGGCTGCCTGGGCTGGGACAGGGACGTGGCATCCAAGCCCTGGGTCCACCCAGATCCCAGCTCCCTTCTCGCTCCACCAAGTCTCCCCCACTGTCGAGTGTGCCCCTCCTCGCCTGAGAAGCAGGGCTCATTGGGGGCCCCAGAGCCTGTGGGGGCACAGACTTCAAAGCAGTGCCCGCCGAGCCCACAGGTGAACGCCATTGTGGTTCCCGAGCAGGTCAGGGCTGATGAGTTAGAGGGAGAGGGGAGTCGGAGCTCTCCTGATCACTGCCAGGAGACGGGACCCGCCTGTCCACTCAGACATTGAAGTGTCTGGGGTCGGTTTGCCGACCATCTACAGCACCTCCCAGGCAAGGGCTCGCCTCCTGCCCTGGAAGCAGCTGTGAGAGGCCGACACCCAGGACCTCACCTCACCCTGCACCGCTCCCGCTCAGCTCCTGTCCCAGGGCCGGAGAAGGAGGGTGTCAGGGCATGAAGTGGGAATGGCAGGGCCAGAGGCCTAGGTGACTCCAGTGTGCGGACTCCTGGACTGCTCTCTCCTGGGGAAAGCTTGCTCAAGGTCCGGGGCTGTGGCACCCCCCAGAGCAGGGCCCTTGGGGGCTGTGGGGGCTTCTCTCGGGAGAAGCCTGCTGGCAAGAGGGAGGCGCAGTTGCCACCTCCATCGGGACAGGAACCAGTTGGCTCCCGGGACCAAGTCCACCTCGGGACATGCTATGTCCACTCCCTCCCTACACAGTGCTGGGGCTGGGGGAAGGGAGCATGCAGAGCTGTGGCGGGGGCAGCTTCTCAGAGTTGGGGACCATGCAGCCGGCGGAGAGCTTGGGGCAGGGCCACGTGTGGAGAGGTGGGAGCGGAGTCCGTCACTGGCTTCTCCAGCCTGGTGGTTCTCAGCTAGGGCCCAGGGCCTGCCCAGAGGTAGGCGTGGAGGATGGCAGGTGCCCAGGCCCAAGGTGGCCCCTTGCCCAAGGCGTCTGGGATAGCATGTGGGGGCCGGCCCTTGCACCCCGGAGCTTGGCCGGCACTGGACAGCAGATGCCGCACCCTGAAGGTCTGTGTGGGGCCAGAGCTGAGGGCCTAGGTGACTGGCCTGCGTGGGCACACTCATTGGAGACGCTGCCCCAGAGGCAGTAGAGCTGTGGGACTCCAGGGTCAGGGGCCACGGCCCACAGAGCACTGGCCAATGCCACCTCCCGCCCCCAGGATGGAGGCCTCCTGCCTGGAGCTGGCCCTGGAGGGGGAGCGGCTGTGCAAGGCCGGCGACTTCCAGGCCGGCGTGGGCTTCTTCGAGGCGGCCGTGCAAGTGGGCACCGAGGACCTGAAGACCCTCAGCGCCATCTACAGCCAGCTGGGCAACGCCTACTTCTACCTGAAGGAATACTCCCAGGCCCTGGCCTACCACAAGCACGACCTCCTGCTAGCCAGGTGGGGCGGCCTCTGGGGTCAGGTGGGGGGAGATGTGGGGCGTGTGTGAGCTGGGCCAAGGGGGATATGTCGGTGTGAGCACGTACATGTGACCAGCTCTGGGTCTGTGAGCTCACGCGTGTGTGTGTGACCCCGTGTGGTAGTGTGTCATGTGTCTCTGCATGTCTGGGAGCACACGTGTCTCCATGTCGATTGCTCTCTATGTGCCTACGTGAGCACACACGTGTCATACATGGCCCTCTGTGATTGCAGGTGCGTGTCCTATGTGATACATGTGTCTGAGCACACACGTCTCTGTGTGATCCCATGTGATAGCATGTCGTCGCTGTGTGGCTCTCCTTGCCTCTGAGGAAGCACAGGCCTGCCTCTTGCACCAGCTCCTGCCCCCAGCTCCCACCTTCTTCAAGCCTCAGCCTGCTGGTCTGCACCAGCAGTGCACCCTGACCAGGCTGGCACAGGCCCCAAACCCCAGCCAGGTCACGCTGTCTCCCATCTCCAGTGATAAGCCCCATACTGCGCCCGCTGGCGTGCCTGCCTGGTTACTGCAGGGATTGTGGTAGATCCGGTGCCCCGCAGGGCCTCCAATCTGGGTTCCAGGCCCCAGGGTCCTGTTGGAAGCCCACAGCAGCCCTGCACTGGGAACCTTATGGCTGGCCCCATTCCCACCCTGCAGGACCATCGGTGACCGCATGGGGGAGGCCAAAGCCAGTGGGAACCTGGGCAACACACTCAAGGCCCTGGGCCGCTTCTCCGAGGCCATTGTCTGCTGCCAGCGACACCTGGACATCGCCCAGGAGCAGGGGGACAAGGTGGGTGTCAGGCTCCCTGGGCAGGGGGAGGCCTGGGGGCCAGGCCATCATCCCAGGGGCCTCACTCAGGCTTGGTCACAGGAAAGACCACCCCCCACACCAAACCTGTGGCTGTGTCCCGTGCGTGCATGCGTGCGAGCGTGCGTGCTTTGTGAGGGGTCACAAGGGTGCAGACTTCAGTTGTGTCACGCACAGTTGTACGTGTGTCGCCTCGTCACTCCCCAAACACGTCCTTCCTGCCTAACAGACTGGGGCAGTGAGGGCCTGGGCACCTGGCTGCAGGCGTCCGAGGACAGCAGTGAGGTCAGCTGTGGCTGGAGTGGCCGGGCCGTGTCCTGTGCTGCTGGGCTCACCCCCTCCTCGCTGCCCCGCCCCCACCACCCGCAGGTCGCGCAGGCCAGAGCGCTCTACAACATGGGGAATGTGTACCACGCCAAGGGCAAGCAGTTGTCCTGGAGCGCCGCTCAGGACCCCGGGCACCTGCCGCTGGATGTGCGGGAGACGCTGAGCAAGGCCTCCGGCTTCTATGAGTGAGTGGGCAGCTAGGCTGCAGGGGGGCGGGCGTCCCTGAGCATCGGAGGGCCACCGTGGGCTAGCCTGGTCCCTCACTGCTGCTCCTGTCCCCACCCCCCAGCCCTGCATCTCCCCAGAATCGGGGCTCCTTTTCCAGTGGGTACTTGGCTGGAAGGGGGTGGGGCACGGGGCGAGCCAGGTGGGAGGGGGACAGCGGCCATACCCCAGGCCAGCCCGCGTGGAAGGCGGGCAGGCTCGTTCTCAGTCAGATCTGCCCCCAGGAGGAACTTGTCCCTGGTGAAGGAGCTGGGAGACCGGGCAGCCCAGGGCAGGGCCTGCGGCAACCTGGGGAACACTCATTACCTGCTGGGCGACTTCACGGAGGCTGCCGCCTTCCACAAGGAGGTGAGTGGGCGGGGCACGGGGTGTGTGTGTGCAGTGCTGGGGCCTGGGTCCCCTCTGGACGTGTGCCTGCCGGGCATCTGCCTGGGCCTCAGGCAACTCACTTTCCCCAGCGTCTCGCCATCGCCAAGGAGTTTGGTGACAAAGTGGCCGAGAGGAGGGCCTACAGCAACCTGGGGAACACCCACATTTTCCTGGGGCGGTTCCACGTGGCAGCAGAGTATTACAAGTAGGCAGCACCCCACCCCCCCAGCCCAGCCTGAGGACAGAACCCCTCGTGGGGGAGGGCATGAGGGTGTGTCCGTCTGGTCCTGGCCACTGGGCACTGCTCCCGTGGGGATCGTGGGCAGTGGTGCTCTTGGCCTGACCCGCGCCCTGCTGCCGGGCAGGAAGACACTACAGCTGTCCCGTCAGCTGCAGGACCAGGCAGTGGAAGCGCAGGCGTGCTACAGCTTGGGCAACACCTATACGCTGCTGCAAGACCACGCGAGGGCCGCCGAGTTCCACCTGCGCCACCTGCTCATCGCCCAGGAGCTGGCCGACAGGTGCGCCTGCCCTGGGGGCCGTGGCCAGAGTCAAGTCTACTCACCGAGACCCTCCTTCGGGCTTCCGGGGCCGAGTCTTAGCAGGAGCGGACAGCCTTCACCTCTCTCCCGCCCTGTGGTCTTAGCTGACCCACAGTGACAGGGTCGAGCTGCCCCACGGGATTCTGAGACGGTCTCCCATGAGGGGATCCCAAAGCCCTGTCTCTTCCAAGGAGCGACTGGGGGTTTTGAACGGTTAGCAGCCGTACCTATAACCCACTGTGCTACAGTTCCTGGTTCCTCTCCTTCACGTGTTTAAATACCTGCCTTTAGGGCAGCGGTCCTCAACCTTCCTCATGCCGAGACCCTTTAATACAGTTCCTCAGGTGGTGGTGACCCCCAACCAGAACATTATTTTCATTGCTACTTCATCACTGTCATTTCGCTACTGTGATGAATCGGGTGACCCCTGTGAAAGGTCGTTCGACACCCCCCCAAGGGGGTCACGACCCACAGGTTGAGAACTGCTGCCATAGGGAGAGACGGATGGCTGCAGATGTGGGCACAGCAACCCCGGTCCCAGGTGTGCCCGTGGGCAGCGGCCAGAGAGAGCACCTTGAGTCGAGGAGCCTCTCCTGGGGAGTGCCCTTCAGGAGTCTCCCCTGCCCAGGAGGCTCTGTAGGGACTTAGGGCCCAGGGCCTGGGTGGGATGAGGCATGCCAGCCACTAGGGGGTGAGCCAGGCCTGGAGTGGAGGTGTCCACCCTGCCCTGGCTGCCCGGAACACTCCTGCTCCCTGGGGGGGGGAGGTCCCGAGCAGCCCCACCCCAGGGAGGGGTGTCACGGGACAGGCTCCATCCTCGAGAACATGGGCCCCAGAGCCTGCTGGAGGGCCCTCCTGGGGACCAGTTTGTGGGTGTCCTGGCTTTGCGTGAAAGCAATGCCCTGCCTGTCCCTCAGGGCTGGAGGCCCCTTGGTGACCGCTGGGCCACGTGTGGCACCTGAACCTCTGCCCCACCCACGGTCCATCCTGAGGCCGCCGAGGGGTGTGGGGCAGGTATAGACGCAGTCCCTGTCCCCTTCAGAGTGGGCGAGGGCCGAGCATGCTGGAGCCTGGGGAACGCCTACGTGTCCATGGGGAGCCCTGCACAAGCCCTGACCTTTGTCAAGAAGCACCTGGAAATCTCCCAGGAGGTGAGCCCCAGCCCAGCCCCTCCCTAGGCTGCCTCCGGGCCACTCCAGCCCCTCGGCCCTGGGCTGGACAGCAAGATGTGCAAGGCTGCCACCTCACCTGACACTCAGAGCCCGTGTGCCTGCAGGGGCTGTTCCCCTGAGCCGGTGGGGTGGGGTGCTGTCTCCCTGAGTCTGTGGGGCATGAGAGTCACCTACCCCTGAGCCCTAGTGCCTCCCACTCCTATCAGCTCACCCCAGGCCTGCTTCTCTGTCCCCATGGAAGCAACAGTGGCACCGGCTCCTCCACCAGGCAGCCAGGGCCCTCCCTCAAGGGACACCCAGACCCCCGCCTTCCCCAGAGGGGGCCTCGGGCCTTCTGAGGGCCTGACCACCAGTCCTGAGGCTGCTCAGGCAGCCAGTGGTGGGCCAGCCCCTCGTCCACCCCCTCACCCTGATTCTCCCACTTCTTGGATGCAGCCTGAAAACAAGCCCAGCCCCCATGCTGAAGTGCCCCAGGCCCTGGGCAGAGGCACCTTGGGGTGCTTGTCTAGGGGGCGCTGCTGCTTTGGGACCTGAGCCCCCTCTTCTGGGGAGGGCTCTGGGCAGAGGGAGGCATGGGATGGTCCACGCTGCCCACTGAGGGGCTCCCCACGCCACAGGCTGGATGGCCTGTGACCCCAGTGAGCCTGAGGCTTGGGGGTGGGGTGTCCCAGAGAGCCCCCCAGCAGGTCTCCCACCCGGGCCCCTCATTGCAGATCGGGGACCGAAATGGAGAGCTCACGGCCTGCATGAACGTGGCGCAGCTGCAGCTCATCCTGGGCCAGCTGGGCAGCCCGGCCAATGCCGCCGACACAGCTGAGAAGCCAGACCTGGCTGGCTACGAGGCCCAAGGTGGGTCTGGGGGTGGGTGGACACCAGCTGGGAAGTCAGTGGGGGGAGGAATGTTCTGCAACAGGGGTGCATCTGAGGTCAGGGAGCCCCCAGCCCTGCCTCAGGAACAGAGTGCCACCATTCGCAGGGTTAAGGGCAGGACGGTGGAAAGGGATGTGGGGACACAGCCCCCCACCTCCCTGGGGGCACTGAACACTTGGATGCAGGAAGCAAGGTGGAGCCTCGACCCCCACCCCACCAAGGCACTGCCCCTCCCCTTCCAGCTGAGGGCGGGTGCTGCCGTGGAGGGAAGCCCTGTGTTCCTGCATCTTGGGGGAGGGAGAGTGTGCCGGGCATACTGGCCTCATTCAGGGCCATCGACCCTGCATGCAGGTGGACGGGCCTCAAAGCAGGCCGCTTCATGAGCAGGGAATTTGCTCTTTGAACCCCCAGGTCACTGAGCATAGGACCAGGGAGCAGGATGCTTCCCCATGAACTTTCTGGCCGGGGCTGGGGGAGGGGGGTACACACCATGGTGTGTGGGGCAGGCCCTCCCACCAGTGGGCTTTCCAGAGGGTGTTTCTACAGCCCCTCAAGGTGCCTGAGCCTGAGTCCCAGCCTAGCACTACCACCGGTGGCTGGCCACCCTCTGGGAGCCCCGTAGACGGTGGGGGCAGGGCTGGGCCGGCATCTGGACTGGAGCCATGGGCCGCCCGCCCTGGACACTGGCCTTCCCTTCTCTGAGCCAAGGAAAGGGGGGCCGGGCGGTGACGTCCTGCTGCGCTGAGACAAGGCCACTCTGTCCTCCCTTGCCACCACCTCTCTGCTCTGCCTGCCTGCCTGGACCCTTCCTGGCCTGGGGTGCTCTGGATGAAGCCTCCTCCCCAAGTGGCTGCCAGCTGCTGGCCACCACTGCACAGTGGGGAGAGGGGTCTCAGGAGGGGCTGGGCAGCCCTGAGTGCTGGACCCTGGGGTCAGCAGAGATGCGGCTGCTGGCAGAGGGCGGAGCCCAGACATCTGGGGACCCTGGAGGGGGTCCCTACTCAAGTGAGTGTCTGGGGGATGGGCTGTTGGGAGCTCAGGGGTTGCTGGAGGGTCACTCTCACTCAGCTTCCCCTGTGAGGACTGTCTAATGTTGTGGGGGGTGGGGGGGGAGGTCATCCAGAGCTTGTCCATGTGGCTGGACTAGGTGGAGGGCACACAGGGTGAGGCGGCTGAGGAAGCCGCTCCCTGGAGGAGGTGCCCACTGAGTCATGAGGAGGAGGGAGGAGGGAGGCCTTGGGGGCCCTGAGCCGGGTGGGCTGCCGGTGAGTGTGGCCAGGCTGGCCCTGGAGGAGGTCTCAAACTTCCCTGTTTGGGGGCCCTGTCTCAGGCCGCAGGGGACAAAATAAGCCAGTGATCAGCTTTGCCATTAACCCTCGGCCTGGATCCCCCAGCTCCCTAGGGGTCTGGGTGGGTGAAGGGTACCCCCTACACTGCCCCTCGGCCTGTGGGTTGGAGAGAGCAGGCTCAACCCCTTGGGCATACAGAGACCTAGGCTTCCCCTCTCCCAGTGACCCGGCAAGGGTGCAGGGGTCGAGGGGCCCCTAACCTCCCTCCCAGCCCCCACCCCTTGGACCAGGGCTGCTTGCTGTGTTGGGTGGGGGTGCTGGCCGGCCTGGGGCCCTCTGAGCAGGAGGTGGGCAGGGCAGCTCAGGAAGGGTCTCACTTGGGGTTTTGAGGGCCCGGCAGGGTGGGCAGAGAAGCAGTCTGCTCCGGTCCTGGCCCCCCCCGCCCCACACACACACGGAGGGGTGAAGGGGGCCAGCAGGGCAGCTCTGCCCAAGGGTCTGGTCCCAGCTGGGATACCCTCCCCACCAGGACATGACCAGGACAGAGCCCCGTTCTGTGGCCAGGACAAGGCTTGTGGGGTTACGCCCTGCTGGCCTCTGATGACGGGGACCGGGCTGGGCCCGAGGTGGAGACAGAGACTACAGTGTGACGGTTGGGCTCAGGGAGGGTGCCAGACCTAGCCCTGGGAGGCGGGCAGGCGGACCCAGCCTGGGCTGTTGGGACTGGCCGGCTTGGCATACCTCGGTCCTCGTACCACACAGAGGGGTCATTTAGCTGGCTGAGGCTCCTGCCTGCCCTGACCAGAGCCCCGTCTCCAGCGGGACACTCTGGGCCCCGCCCTGGAGGCTCAGGTGGGGCGTAAGCAGCAAGCCAGCAGGGTCCTGAGTCGGCTGGGGTGGTGCATGGCCCTGGGGGTGGTAACTTGAGGCGACCCATCTCCCACCAGTGCCCAGCTGTCAGACCTGAGGTGGGGATCTTGGCACAGGCAGGGCAGTGCCTGACCTGGTTGGGGATGGACAGACAGCACACAGCTGGTCTGGATGCGGGCAGAGCCGCCTCTGTGGTCAGCATGAACCCGGCCCTGGCGTGCGTGTGCGGCAGCTTCATTTCTAGCTACTTGAGCACAGATGACAAGGCCAAACAGGAAAAAGGCATAGCCCACCAGCACCTCCTTCCAGCTATGTGGGCACCCCACAGGGTGTCTGTACCCCATGTCCCCCACACTGGCCCCTTAGCACCGGCTCTGGGAACTGGCTGCCTTTGGCAGGAGTGCTCTGAGCTGAACCCCAACTAGGCCCACCTGCAGGTCTCCTTCAACCCAGAGCTCCCTGCAGCCTCTGCCGTTTTCTTCTTTACCTTCCCCCCGCCCCCTCCCACTCTCTCCCCACCCCTCAGTCTCCCTCTCAACTGTCACGCACCACCTGTCCCCTGCCCTGTGCCCCTCAGAGGGGACTCTCCCATGCCCCTTTTCCCTCCTGTGTGGGGACACCCCCATGTGGGGCAGACAGGGTATTGAGGTGCAGGCCAAGCAGCACTCGGGGAGGCCTGGGTGGCTCCCTGCGCCCTGGGACTAAGGACAAGCGCCCTCCGTCAGTATTCAGAGGTGGGTCCTGAGGTGTCCCCACTAGACTCCCCGCCCCATTCCTGTGGAACTCAAGGGACCTGTCTAGTGGGTCTGGCCTTGGGGCTCCTCTGGTGCAGGGGCGGGGCACCAGGGGGCTTCCTGGAGGCAGTGCCAGTTGGAAAGCCCCTCAGGCCCTGGTCACGCAGCCCCAGGAAGGGCATCCCATGCAGAGGACAGTGCACATGGAGGGGGCCTGAGGCAGGCAGGCAGGCTGACCAGGGCCACTGTCTTCCAGGGGCCAGGCCCAAGAGGACACAGAGGCTGAGTTCGGAGGCCTGGGACCTGCTGAGGCCCCCCCTGGAGCAGGTGAGCAGGGCTGGTGTCACCTGGAGACAGGTTAGAGGCAGAGCCGTGGGGACCAGGGTAATGGGCTGGGAGCAGGGCTGGCCAGTTGCCCTCTGTCCACTCCTGCCGTGGCCGAGAGATAAATGGGTGCCCCCTGGGCCTGAGTCCAGAGTGCCCATCTGCTGCCACTACCCCCTCTGGCCTCCTTCCTTAGTACACACGGCTGGCCCCCCAGGCCCGTGTGGCCAGTTTCCAGTGGGCCCTGGAACAGGGGCGGCATTCAAACAAAGGTGTCACACAAGGAGGGCAGGGGCGTGGGAAAACGGTGCCGAGTCCCGGTGGGCTGCCCTCTCTGAGCCCGTGGTGGCTGGTTCAGTGAACTGACCATAAGGGGGCTCCTCTAAAACTTGCACCCCAGATGCTCCCCTGCAGCCTACTTACCTCTCCAGGGCCTGGAGCCCTGACCAGGGTCCACCCCTGTGGTGCTGCATGCTCTAGTGAGTTGTCTAGTGGCCCCATGATCAGCCCCCACCCCCGTGTCCCCCCAGGAGCAGAATGGAGACAGCCACCAGGTGGGGGACTGGCGGGGGCCAGGTTGGGACTCGCTCCCCCGGCCGGAAAGGAGCAGGAGGTGCCCCGAGAGATTGGATGCTGCAGAGTGGAGGGCCCAGGAGGGCAGCCTCTCTCCGCTGGACAGCGCAGATGTCCGGGTGCAGGTGCCTCGTGTGGTGCGTGGGGCCCACAGGTGGATGGGTGGGTGGGGCATGACCGGGCCCAGGTCCCCTCATGGTGCAGCTGGGCTGGCTGGTGAGCCCGGCCGGGGGGACATGGAGGCAGAGGGAAGCAGACAGTGCACCTCTGCCAGATGGGTGGCCCTCCACCTCCATCAGGGGTCCCAGTCCTCCTCCCCTGAGCTGCATCTGCAGCCCTGTGGTCCTCTATGCTGAGATCTAGCCCTGCCCTGGTGATGCGAGGACCAGCACAGACGGGTTGCAGGGGCACTCGGCATAGTGTAAAGGGCTTGGAGCCCTGTCTGGGGCAGCGTTGGGGCATGCAGGCCAGCTCCCAGGGTGGGGACAAACCTGAGCAGGGTCCGGGTTCTGGAGTGGACACGGGAGGACTCAGCGGGAGCCGAGTGTGGACACAGCGGCACCAGGGAGCCACAGAGGGCAGGAAACTAACTTCACAGCCTCCACCGCACCCACACCCGCCCCTTGAGGGAGGGCTCAGGCAGGGCAGCTCTGGTTCCGGGGGCAGGTGCAGACTTAGCCTGCACCCCACGCTGGTGGGGGCCACCGGGCTGAGCAAGGAGGGGGCAGAGCTGCCTGGGGGCCTTTTGTTTCTCTGTGACTCAGTGCACCCCTCAGCCCTACCAGCACCGCACAGGAGGGCTAATTTTAACATCTCCTAAAAGACAGGCAACACCACGGGGCACCTCCCCACGCCTGCTCCGCGGAAGCAGGGAGGGGGCACCTAGACTGGTCCGGGGCTAGCCCGCCTCTCCTCTCGCTTGGGCAGCAGGGGTGCAGTCAAGGGGCAGCTGGGACCACATAGGCCACCCCCTGAATGGGGAGGATTCTGGCTCGGGGTGGGGGTTGCAGGGCAGGCAGCCTTGGGGAGAAAGCGGGGTGGGGTGGGGGCTAGAAAGGCCTCAAGGTCAGAGCATGGAAGTGCATTTCAAATTGGACCCCATCCACCATCCGCCACACTGAGCTGGAGAGTGGGGGCTGGGGGGCAGGGGTGGAGTTCTGCCTCTGTGTTTAAGAAGGCGCCTGCTAGTGTGTGAGTGCATGTGCGTGTGCTGCTCTGAGTGCCCGCGTGTGTGTGCGCGCGCTGAGGGAGGAGCTGGGAGGGCCCCGTTGGAGATCTTGCCTATTTAAGCGCTGGCGGCCCTGGAGGGAGACGGGCACAAGCAGGCTGGGGCAGGGTGGCCTCCTGACGTGTTGCTGGCATCCCGCGTGAACTCCTGGCCTGGCCACCTCTGTGCTGACACCCTGCGCCCCAGCGTGAGTGTGGGTCCCGCGGAGAGCTCCACGGGGCTCCCTCCTGGGGCGCCTGGCCTCATTGAGGGGGTGGGGGCAGGAGAGGGCAAACGGAGGTAGGGGTGAACAGCCAGCTGCTGGTGAGAGGTCAGTGGGGTGGGCAGCTCCTCAGCAGGTCAGGTGTGGTGTTGGGCTTCAGCAGGGGGCCCATGGTTTGGGGCCTCTTTAGCAGCAGGAAATACTGGGTACTATGAGGTTAGGGGCCTGGCACAGCTCATTGGGTCCACGGGCCACCTGGGGGTCACCCTAGGCCAGACTAGGATGGTATGTCCTTCCAGGTGGGGCACAAGTGTAGGCCCTGGGCACTTTCTGGACCACAAGTCTCCCCTTCTTGGGGATGTCCTCCTCCGGTGATCAGGGAGAGGGCCCCACAGCCCACTTCCCAGCTGTGGGGCTAAGGGACAACAAACCCTTTAGGCAGCCCTTTCCTACCCACAGCTCTGGACCTTGGGCCTGCCCCAGGGGAGGGCCTCCTGAGTGCTGAGCTGGGCGGCCTTCACCACAGCTGCCACCTGCTGGTGGGCAAAGGCATGACGCCCCAGCTTGGCCGCCCACCTCTCATCCTGAGGCCCTGGCCCGGGTGCTCCGCTGGGACTCCCTCAAGAAGCCCACACGCTACATATGCTCCTGCGTGGGGGGCAAGTTTGGGGACAGCAGACCCTCTCCCAAACCGCTGGGAATAAGTGCCCTGAAGCCATCGGGATGAGGGTTCCTGCAGGGCCCTCACGGCTCTGCCTTCAGGCTGCTGTGGCCTCTGTTCTCTCCGTCCTTGGCCAGAGTGGCCAGGGAGGCAGACGGCCTGTAGGGGGAGTGGGCTTGGGGGGTGTGGGGTGTGGAGGAGACTGACATCCCAGGCCAGGGCCCTGAGCTGCTGTAACCCCCTCCCCCAGAGCCTCCCCAGGGTCCCATCTTCCGACGAGGAGTGCTTCTTCGACCTGCTCAGCAAGGCTCAGAGCAGCCGCATGGACGACCAGCGCTGCCCACTGGAGGGGGACCCGGGCCGTGACGCCCCCACAGTGGAGGGCGGTGTCGGTGAGCCCCCGCCCAGCATCCCAGCCGCCTGGAACCCACCGGGACCCCTGCCTGGGGAGGGCCAATGCCCTTCTGGTGTTTGTGCCCCACACACCCCCTGCGCCAGCCTGACCGCCCTCCCCCTGCAGCGCCGTCCTCCCTGACGGCCTCCCCGCAGACGGAGGAGCTGTTTGACCTCATTGCCAGCTCGCAGAGCCGCCGGCTGGATGACCAGCGGGCCAGTGTGGGCAGCCTGCCCGGGCTGCGTATCACCCACAACAACCTGGGCCGCCTGCGTGGGGAAGGTGACCCCTCGGAGCCTGGAGATGACTTCTTTAACATGCTCGTCAAATGCCAGGTAGGTGGCAGCCAGAGGGGTGGACGCACACCCTGCCCCTGCAGAGCCAGACTGGGAGGGTAGCTATCTGTCCTCGGGAGCCAGAGTCTCGGGCAGGCCCAGCACTGTCTCCTGGGAGGGTTGGGAAACCCAGGTTCGGGGAAGGAGGGGTGTCCCCGAGAGGGACAGGCCTGGGTTACTGCCAAGACTGGTAGTACGGTCAGAGTGGAGGGGCTGTGGGAAACAGGAAGAGTCCCTCGGGACTCCCACTAGAATGGAGGAGACAAGGTCAGGTGTGAGGGCAGGAGGCCATGAGTAGCTGAGCCCCTGGGGCCCCATCACCACAAGCCCCCAACACCCCGTCACTGCACCCCCATACCCTCACTGCCCCTGGCACCCCATCACTGCGGGTCCCTGGCACTCCATCACTGCACCCCAACAATGCAGGTCCTTGGCACCCCATCACTGCACCCGACACTGGGGGCCCTACAATAGGCTGAGGGTCCGGTGGCTCTGTCCAGGCACTGCAGGTCTGCAAGGGCTCTCCTTCCCACAGAGGGGCCCTGCACTTGCATGCACCTTCCAGTGGCTGCGCCAGCTCCCGCGCCGCCTGACCCGACAGGCTGCCCGAGTGCACCGAGGCCCCTGGACCCAGCCCAGGAGGGTGTTCTCAGGGTCGCACGCACCCTGAGAGCCGGGCGAGCCTCCACGAGGTCGGCCCCTCTACAGTCCTTTGCCCACTGCCCACTGAGCCGGGTGAGAGCCGGGCCCACAGCCCCACATGTGCCAGTCCTCCAGGATCGATGACCAGCGCTGCCTGCCGCCCCCTGTGCTGCCCCGAGGCCCCACCATGCCTGACGAGGACTTCTTCAGCCTCATCCAGCGGGTGCAGGCCAAGCGCATGGACGAGCAGCGGGTGGACCTTGCTGCCAGCCCTGAGCAGGAGCCCGCCAGGCTGCAGCAGGGCCCACCCCAGCCAAGCCCACTCGGCCGACCCTGAACTCCCAAGGGCTCTCCTTCCCCCAATGCTGATGCCCAAACTCAGTCCCTGAGAAGCCAGCTTCCCCTGCAGCCGAGGCCAGGGCTGCTGAGTGGGGACAGGCACACCCAAAGGGCTCCAGCCCCGAACTGTTTCCCCCAGGAAGGCCCACCCACCTCCCCTGCCGGGCCCAGCATGCCAGGCCCCCTGCTCTGGTGCTGGCCACCCCCTGCCCCGCAGGTCACCTGGGAAATGTCAAGGCCACACTGCTGCCCCTGGTACCAGGCGTGGGGGTGTGTGTGGGGAGGCAGCTGCTTCCAGCAGTGGAGCTGAGGATCCAGCAGCGGGGGGTGCAGACCTGACCGTGGTGGGCAGTAAGGGGTGTCACCCAGACTGCCATGGCCTCTATGGGCATGGCCCAGCTGGCGCATCTAAGTTGGGAGGTGGGTGTAGAAGAGCCCCAGCCCCCAGTCTGACTGGCAGACACTGGTGGCCCTGCAGTGGGCCCATCCCTGCTCGCAGCCTGGGGACCCCGTGCCTGGAGGGGGCTGAGGGCAGGGTAGGCTGGACAGACACAGACACGTGTCTGTCTGTATTGCCGCTCAGGTGCCCCGGTAGTGTGTGGTAGTGTGTGTGTGTGGGGGGGTCCCCAACCCAGTAGGTACGTTGTTTTCCCTGAAAAATAAAAGTCTGTCGACGAAACTGCTGCGTCAGGATGTGCTGGACAGTGGACCCGGGTGCAGGCCGTCCTGACAGCTATGGGGGTGTCCTGTCAGCTTGGGGAAGTGGGCCACCCGGTCACAGGGATGACTATCCCATTAGCTAGTGGGGTGGGGTGGGGGAGGTAAGGGGACTATCCTGTCAGCTACGGTGGGCGGGAGGGGTGGTGGTGCAGGATGTTCTGTGAACCATGGTGCGGGGGCTCTTGGGTACCTGTCAGCCACGGGGCGGGGACCATCCCATCAGCCATCAGGGACATGGCTGCCCTGTCAGCTCCTGTGGGGGGAGGCGGGTAGGGGATGTCTGCCTTCACCCACAGATGGAAGAACAAGCAGGGCTGCGCTGTGGTGAGGGGCAGCCTGGGCAGGGCATACCTGCCCCCCTCAGCTGTCCAGCAGCCCTGGGCCAGACCATGTTGCCCAACCCCCAGGGAAGGCTGAAGGACAGTGTGGCTGCCCAGGGCTGACCCTAAGCACAAGTGGTGGGTGGTCAGGGCTCAAAGACCAGGGGTAGATGTCCCCATACTGCAATGCCAGGGTGGGGCAGAGGCCAGCTGGTACCCCAGGCCCTCCCTGAACACTTGCCCTGCCAGGACTCAACATTGACCAGGCCTGAGGATGGAGTCCGGGAATTCCCACCCAGCTTGCCCCGTTGCACCCCAGGGCACGCTGACTTTGCCCTGATGCCCTGGAGCCTTGCCTGCAAGGGGCCCATAGACAGACAAGGCAGGGTCTCCCATCCCCAGGGGGCTGGGGATGGCTCAGAGCAGGTGCTCAGGACAGGTCGTCCCAAGGGAAGGATCTGCACAGAATGAGGTTGGAGCGGCATGGGAAGAGAAAGGTGTACCCAGCAGGACCCGAACAGCATGGCCCACTTGTCAGCAATGGGGATGGGGGAGGGGCTGAAAGAGGTCCTGCAGCCCCTGAGCTGGGATGGCAGGAAAGGGCAGGGAGGGGCCCAGCAGACCACAGGCTGGAAGGGCAGTGGGAAGACCTCTCAGAGTCCTACAGAGTGCAGCTCCAGGGTGGCCAGCGGTGGACTCCAGAGTAGTCAGATGGAAAAGGGGAGGTGGGTGGGGGCCTGTCGGAGCAGAGAGGGCTGAGGGGCTTCTTGAGCGGTCTCTTCCTGGCCCTGGTGCTGAAAGGGCGGGTTCTCAACCGGTGTGCTTGGTGAGCGCTGTGCTGAGCCCTCTGAGGCTCAGACCAGCCCTGGGTGGGAAGGCTCCGGGAATTCCTGCAGGGAGGGAGGGTCTCTCTGTGTGCAGGCTGAGCCTGGGGAACGCAGGTGATAAGGCAGGCCGGCAGGCGGGCCCATGCCAGTGGGCTCGGGCTCTGGGCGTAGTCACTGCCACGCTCTGGGCCTGTCTCCCCAATCCGAAAAGCGGGTAAGGGGCTGCTCGCCCTCTTCAGGCCTCTGTCTCCAGGTTCCCAAGAACCCGCCCAGCTCACCGACACGGCCAGAGAGGAGGGCCTCAGGGCCCAGCTCTGGGATGGCAGGCTCCCAGAATGGCCACGGGGGCTCCAAAGAGATGGCCAACCGGTGGCCGTGGGCCCAGTGGCCCTGAGCGGGGAGGGCCGTGAGGGCCCCTCCTGGGCGGCAAGCTCCTGGAACGACAGAGGCTTGGGTAGAGATAATGGCAGGGTGCCCCTGAGAGAAGGACAGGGGGTAATTGAGTCGCAGCCCAGATTCTAAGGGCGGCAAGAACAATGCACTTAGGCGGGTAATCACCGCGTGCCCCCGCCCTGCACCAGCTGCACCCCAGTCCTCCCCCGCCGCCCCGGAGCCTGTGCTGTTCCCTGCAGCTGGCTGTGGTGAAGGTCACACTCCGGGAATAAACGCCCTTTGTAGACACAGGGACGTCCTGAGCGTGCCGTCAAATGTGGGATGGATGCCTCCCACCCGCCGCCCTGAGCTGCACCAGCCCCTCGTCCATGCTCCCAAGACTTGCCCGCCATGGCCATGGTACTGACCTCTGAGAGACCAAGGGTCAGGACAGAGGAAAGATACTGCCCCATGGAGGGGAAGTCCTCCCTCCCCCATGCTGTCGGAGGAGATGGTGTTTGGGAGGATGGAGCATGTCTGGGACCCTGGCTGTCCCTGTCCCCAACCACCCCTGCAGGCTGCAGGGCACTGGGCAGGTGATGACCCGAAGGGGACAGTGATGCCAGGAGAAGATGTGAAAGGAAGCGGGCAGCCCGGCCTCTGAAAGTGAGTGTTTACTGACCAAAGCCAGGCTGCCCAAGGAGGGCCAGAGCGGGCGGGGTCAGCCAGGCTCGGCCTTGCCAGGGTGGGCAGCAGCCTTGTTTGAGGCATCCCCATCCTGGGCAGCAGTGGACTGGGGGGCGGCCACAGGGTGGATGGCATCCTTGTCCTCACCCTCTTCCTGGGCTGCTGCAGACTGGGGGGCTGCCATGGGGTCCAACACCACTTCCAGGGCCCCATCAGTGGCCACTCGGTGCACGGACTCGCCTCGGGCTGCCAGGATCTCCTCCACATTCCTGAGGAGCAGGAGTAATCAGGAACACTAGCTTGGGAGGGGGGACAGGGATCCCGTCACAGGGCAGGAGAACAGGGACCACGCCATGGAGGGGTACAGAGACCCTATACCCCACTCCAGGAGGCCAGTGACCGCAGCCCAAGCCAGCAGGCTCAGTGATGGCAGTCACAGGCCCGGCCGGTGAAGCATCTTACCAGGCAGCTGCCAGCCTACCCAGGCTCTGTACGCCTGGAAAAAGGGTGTAGGGAGGTACCCCCTAATATGGAGAGTGGGGGAGCTGTATCCTGGCTCCCTGGGCACAGGATGGCCAGAGGCAAGCCCTTGGGGCTGGTCCAGCGGCGGATCCGGGAAAGGAAAGGAGGGCCCAGGTTTGGGGGTGCTTACACTGAGGTGCAGACACAGTACCCCGAGGATCAACTTCACAGACATAGTTACATGTTTCTATAGCAAGGCCAGGGCTGGGCTGTAGGAGATGGGGGCGATGGGCCTGCACACGGGGGCCCCCTGTGAGGCCGGGGTGGGGTGGGGTCCTGACCGAGACTCCCCATGCGCACCCGCGCCCGCCTGCCTCACCTCTTCCCATCCAGATCTGAGAACCAGCCCAGGTTGTCCGCGATGACGTGGTGGTTCTGGCAGCCGGGGCAGGTCACAATAACCACGCCCTGATGGTAGGCCAGCTTGGAGATGCGCTTGGAGGACCGGGTCCCGCACACCTGACCACACAGGCGATTGTGAGGCCCCGCCCACCCATCTCAGCCCCGCCCACTATTGTGAAGCCCCACCCACCCTGGCCCGCCTCTCCCACGAAGTAGCTCCACCTTCCGCAGTCTCAGCCCCACCCCCACCCGGCGCCTCAGAAGGCCCTCCCTCCTATGTAGGACACCCCCTTGCCGAGTGGTAGTGCCCACCCTCCCCAGTCCAGTTCCGTCCCTTTCCAGGGGCCCAGGCCCGCCACTCCTGAGCGGAGGCCCCACCTCCCCCGGCTCAGCCCCGCCCCGCGCTCACCTTGCAGGTGTAGACCAGCTGGTAGTGCGCCGCCTCCACGCGCCCCAGCGGGGCCCCAGGCTGCTCGGAACCCCAGCGCCGCCAGCTTGCCCCGTTGCACCCC